CCGGCTGCCGAATCCCTCCCGCCCCGAGGCGCCGAGGGCCGAGCTGTGCCGGAGCGGCCGCGTGGGTGGCCGTGGCCGTGGCCCTGGTCGTGGCCGGCGGCTGTGCGCGGGGGTTGCAGGTGCATCTCGGGTGGGCTTCTGCCTTGGGTGGCGCGAGCCTGTGCGCTCTGGGCCGTGGGTGGCAGGTCTAGGCCTGGGGGCAATGGAGGGGGGCGCTTCTAGGTGCTGTGGATGGGGGTGGCCCCCGGAGAGGCCGGGGTGGGGGTGCATGGAGCCTTCTGGAAGGCAGCCGATCGTGGCTGACTCGGTTGTGTGGAGGCAGAGAGGGGGTGTCTGGGCTCTGATAGCCATAGGGGTGCCAGGGTGGGGGGCGCAGGTTGGTGGCCGTGTATCTCGTATCTCGGAGCGGGGGGTGGGGGGGGGAGTGTATGCGGTGCCCTCGCTGGGAGTGCAGACCTGGGCGGTGGGGGAGGAGCGAGATGTACCCGGGCTGTGGGGAGGGTGAATGGAACCTGTGCTCCTGAGTGGGGCTGTCGCTGAGGGTGGCCGAGGCACTGCCCTGTCTGGGGTGGGGGACGGGCCTGCCCCTTGCCCAGGGAGCCTCCCTCCACTTCTACCCCGCCCCCTAGACATGCTGCTGCTCAAGAAACAGACGGAGGACATCAGCAGCGTCTATGAGATCCGGGAGAAGCTCGGCTCGTGAGTGTGTGTGAGTGGGTGTTAGTGAATGTGTGTGTGAGCATGTGTCAATGAATGTGGGAGTGTGTGTGTGTGTGGGGCGGGATGGGTGTCATGGGACATGGGAGGGACAGGGCCCTTCCTCTCCCCACCTCTCCTCCCCCTCCCCTCCCCCTCCTCCTCCTCCTCTTCTCCTTTCCCCCTCCCTTCCTGCCTCCCCGGACTCTGCGGCAGGGGCGCCTTCTCTGAGGTGGTGTTGGCCCAGGAGCGGGGCTCCTCACACCTTGTCGCCCTCAAGTGCATCCCCAAGAAGGCCCTTCGAGGCAAGGAGGCCCTGGTGGAAAACGAGATTGCAGTGCTCCGCAGGTGCGCGTCGGTCCCTGGCTGGGCTGTGAAGGCCTGGCCTGGTGCTCTGGCCTGCTGGACCATGCAGGGGCAGCCTATGGTAGGGAAGGAGGGCAGAGGTGGGAGGAAAACAAGAGGGAGGAGAGCTTCCCTGGGGGCCCAAGACAAAGCAACCCTAGGCTCTGAGAGCCCCAGGGCGCTGCAGCGGCCTGTAAGGGGTTTTCTTGCCACTGCAGGGTCAGCCACCCCAACATCGTGGCTCTGGAGGACGTCCATGAGAGCCCTTCCCACCTCTACCTGGCCATGGAGCTGTGAGGAGGACAGGAGCAGGCTGGGGGGTGGGGGCTGGGCAGTAAGTGGGGGCTGAGGGGCTTGGGTCAACTGAGCCTCCACTCTCCCCAGGGTGACGGGGGGTGAGCTCTTTGATCGCATCACGGAACGTGGCTCCTACACAGAGAAGGATGCCAGCCACCTGGTGGGCCAAGTCCTTGGTGCTGTCTCCTACCTGCACAGCCTGGGCATCGTGCACCGCGACCTCAAGGTGCCTGCCCTCCTGCCCGCCCACCTGGCTCTTGCCCAGCATCCCTGTGCACCAAGGGTCTGGGGGACTTGAGGGTGCCCAGCTCCTGCAGCCCGCCCTGTCCCAGCCCTGGGGGCAGTGCCAGGGCTGACCTGGCGCTTTCTCTGGCACCTGTGTGTCACAGCCTGAAAATCTCCTCTATGCCACGCCCTTCGAGGACTCCAAGATCATGGTCTCCGACTTTGGCCTCTCTAAAATCCAGGCTGGCAACATGCTAGGCACTGCCTGTGGGACCCCGGGATATGTGGGTAAGTGACGGGGGCATCCTGAGGCTTGCTGGGGGCCAGGGGGGCTGGAGGACCCTGTGGGAGCCAGGGTGTCAGAGGCAGGGCAAGCAGTGGGTCGTTCCTGGGGTTGATGGTGCACGTGGGTGTGTGTCTCTGGTCCCCAGCCCCGGAGCTCTTGGAGCAGAAACCCTACGGGAAGGCCGTAGATGTGTGGGCCCTGGGTGTCATCTCCTACATCCTGTGAGTGAGCACCGAGAAGGCTCTTCTTCTGCCTGCCTGCCCCTTGCTGGGTCGGGGAGGGTTGGACAGCTGGGTGATTCATCTGTGGGTGCCAGGCTGTGTGGGTACCCCCCCTTCTACGACGAGAGCGACCCTGAACTCTTCAGCCAGATCCTGAGGGCCAGCTACGAGTTTGACTCTCCCTTTTGGGATGACATCTCAGAATCAGGTGAACTTGAGGCTGGCCCCGAGATCAGGGAGGGGCTGGTGAGGAGGGTGGGAGTGGGGTGGGCTGACCTGGCCTTCCTGCTCCAGCCAAAGACTTCATCCGGCACCTTCTGGAGCGAGACCCCCAGAAGAGGTTCACGTGCCAACAGGCCTTACAGCATCTTTGGTGAGTGGGACCTCTGCCAAGCTGTCTTGGGACCAGAGGGACCACACCATCAGAGACTCCCCCCACCCCAATGACCCTCAGCCCTCCCCTAGGATCTCTGGGGACGCAGCCTTTGACAAGGACATCCTGGGCTCAGTCAGCGAGCAGATCCAGAAGAATTTTGCCCGGACCCACTGGAAGGTCAGTGTGGGGAGGGGCCTGTGGACCCGGCTCCAGCATCTGCCCCATCCCCCAGCCTCAGGGAGATTGACTGGGCTGCCTGCCAGTGGCCTCTGTGGTCTTTGAAGTCTTGGGGCACGGCCTGACACCCCTCTCTCCCCACAGCGAGCATTCAATGCCACCTCTTTCCTGCGCCACCTCCAGAAGCTGGGACAGAGCCCAGAGGGTGAGGAGGCCTCAGAGCAGAGGATGGCCCGCCACAGCCACCCAGGCCTCAGGGCTGGCCAGCCCCCCAAGTGGTGATGCCTAGGTGTGTGGGGGTGGGCCCTGTACCCACTGGGAGGTGGATCCTCGGTGAACTTAGTGGGTATGGGGCCCCACAGAGCAGAGGGCTGAGGGCAGAGAGACCAGAGGGGAGGAGTCGGGGTTCAGGGAGAATAAGAGAGAGGCGCCAGTGGGGGCTGGTGACTGTGGGGACTGTGAGGATCCGTGAGGGGCCCAGTACCAAGACCCAGTGGGCACCACTGCTGAGAACCTTGACTGGGAGCAGGCAGCACAGCGCAGGTCGGGGGCGCCTCCTGACTGCCCCCTTTCCTTGTGCTTTTCTCTCTCCCTCCACCCCAGGCAGATGCCGAGGCCGAGTGCATTGACCCCGAGATTCCCTTCCTGTGGACCCTTTCAGTCCCCCGCCCCCATACCCCGGGGCTGCCCTCTGCTGGAGAGTTGGAGATGCATGGGTGTGGCACATGGCACTGGGGCAGGAGCGGGCCACCCCCGTCTGCCCTCCAAGCTCTCCTGTTGCCCAGGTGTCTGCAGGGGCTCCCCTCTCCTGTCGCCGCCACACTCCCTCTAGAAGCCAGAGAAGCTCCAGGGGCTCTCCTTCCTGCACGCTGTTCTGTGCTTTGCTGGCTGTGGGTGGTCCTGCCCGCTTGTGTCTTGGTCCTCCAGCTGCCCTCCAGTTTTCCCCAAATCAATAAAGACAGACAGAGCAATGGGCCAGTGGTGAGCTGGAGGTGGGGGGAAGGGACAGGGATGGGGGACAAGTGTGGAGGAGATGGGTGTCACCTGTGGGAAGGACCCCACTGTGTGACCTCCCACCGCCACCTAAACTACCCCCCCGTTGCTGCCCTGCAAAGTGCCAGCAAGAGGCAGCTGGGTTGGCCAGCTCTGCTGCCCTAGGGGTTGGTCGGCCTGCGTGTGGTTCTGGCTTCCTGGGAGAAAATGGAGGCAGCTCAGGCCTGCTGGGCTGCCAGCAGAGCGGGGTGGTGGGAGGCCAAATGGGGGCTCAGGAAGCCCCATCTCCAGGCCCCCAGGGATGGGCTGCAGTGTCCATGCTCTGCAAGGACATGCTGGGAAGGGCTCACAGGCAAGTGGAGGCCTGAGCGCTGTAGCCAGGAGGGCCAGAGCCCCAGGCTGTCTCCTCCAACTTCTCCCTTCTTTCCCCACTTTCCCCCCTTCCCGTGGCTGTGGCCAGACGGAGAGCATTTCCTGTGCACACCTCCTTGTGCAGAAGGCTGGGGCACCCCAGTGTCAGAAGGTCGAGGGGGGCCCCTCGGCCAGGAGAGGGCACCACTGGGGCCTCTACTCCTGTGCTGTGGTGCGGCTTTGGAACTGCTGGGCTCCAGGCCCAGGGAGACCCAGGCTGGGTTGGCTATGGCTTCCGGTGTGAAGAGCGATGGCCAGTCCTCTCGTTTGCATGGTGCCTGCCCCTCACAGCCCCATTCTGGATGGGCCAGCGCTCCAGAGCCTTGCTTTGGTGGGCCCCAAGCCTTCCTGGCCCCGTTAGGCCTTTCTCCTGCACCCATCAGGGGAAGACCCCTAGTCACTTTTCAGCCCCAGCCAAAGCAGAGGGAGCACCATCAGAGTTCTGGGAGAGCTGGCCATCCCTTCCTCCCCAACGTGGCCCCTGCCCCAGCTGCCCGTCAGCTGGCGTTGCAGAGCATGGAGAAGACCCTTCTCCCTGTCAACCTTTGGGACCTGAAGGGAGGCAGTGAGGTCCAAAGCAGAACTGGCTTGGGTCTTGGAGGTGGGTGGGGGCTGGAGTAAGATTCGGGGTTGGAGCCAAGGGGCCTGGCTTCCACCGAGGAGAGCAGCCGGGTACACTGTACCTCTGGAGATCTGGCGGTGGGCACAGCCCAGGGTGGGTGTCTGCCCGCTGCTTTCCAGACCCACGAGCCCCTCTGTGGCCTTCTTCTGCTCCCAGCATCCTCCCACCCCCTTCCTGCTCCACATTGCCCCCTGCACACCCACCACAAGCCCCTGAATCCCAGGGTGAGTCTGGAGGGGGATGGGCAGCTTCCTCCTTCATCTCCATGGCCCCTTCTAGTCCATCCTTTGCTCCAGACTTTGGGGTGACACTATCCGGTCCTAGCACGCCTGCTCCCCTTTCTCTGCCCACAGTCCAGGGGACCTCAGGCAGCCAGCACCGTGGCCGGGTCTCAACAGGTTGACCTCCTCACCTCCAACAACCTGTCCTGCCTTCTCTTAGCCCCCCACTTGAGGCCTTGTCATTTCCTGTCCTGCCACTTTGGATATCTTCACCAACGTCCCCTTTGCTGATTCTCCTTCCCATCTTTTCATTCATTTACACTGGACTCCCACGACACCTATTTGTTCTTGTTTTGTCCGTCAAATATTGATTGGGCCTCTGCTCTGTGCCAGGCACTGGGCCCACCGGACAAGGTGCCTGCCATCCTGGAGGAGGCCCTGTCGTGGAGGGGTGGGCTTACTCGGATGATAGGGATGATCTGCGTGGGGAAAGTAGCAGGAGCAGCAGCACCAGCCTTCCAGAAGGAATTGCACTCAGTCAGAGACTCAGCCAGCCCTTCCAGCCCAGGCCTGTGGCCAGATTGTCGCTGCAGAGTTGGGCCCTAGCTCCGGCTGCCGTGACACAGGGTGCAGTTTGGCCTCCGGCCAGCAGGCGGCACCATGGTCACGTCTGTCGATGTCCATCAGCCACCTCTTGCTCCTTCAGCACCTGGGGCAGCTGCTTAAAACTATTCCTCTCCTCCACTGCCCCCCAAAATCCTCCCTGGGGAAGTCCTCACTTGGGGGAGAGATTCTGCCTTGCCCATCTGGGAGTGAGAAGAGAGGGGGTCCCCCAGGTCAAGCAGAGGTGGCATCCTTTCATCATCCCTTTGAGCCCTTCCCGTCCAAAGGGGCAGCTTGTGAGAGGATAGCTTTGGACCACCTAGGCCGTGGGATGTGCGGCCTGGGAGAGAGAAAGGACTGGTTCAGGCAGATGCAGAGATGCAGGGATGGAGAGGGAGCTGAGGGGACACCGTGAGAGCATTTTGGGCTCAGAGAACAACAGGCCGAGGTGGCCTGCTGGAGGCACCGGGCTAACCAGAGCCTGGCAGGGTGAGAGTAGGGCCTTCCTCTCTGAGCAATGGCGAGCCACTGGAGGGCGTGTAGCCAGAGAGCTCCCTAATCTGGCCTGGGGTAGCTGCTGAGCTTGGGCAGCTGGAAAACTCAGGTGCTGTGAGTCAGGAGCAGGGTCCAGCGGGTGGCCTTCCCGGGCTGTCAGGGACCACACCAGAATTGAGGGGGGAGCCCTTGTGGGTGTCAAGAGAGGAAGCTGTCTTCCTCGCTCTGGGCCACACAGGGTCAGTCACACACTCCATGTTGGATAAAACCTGTGGGTGGCAGGGGTTCTGGGGATGCTCAACCTATGGGGCCATAGTGGGGACAGGGAGATGGGGTTGGTGGTGGTCCTGGGAGCTCTTTAAGCATCAGTGATGGGTTGGGGGTGGGGAATGAAGGAGAGGGGGCCCGGGGTGGCCCATGCGTTTCTGAGTGGACCGTGGAACCATTTGCCAAGAGGGGTTCACTGGAGTGGGTTTGGGGAGAGACAGTGAGATTGGCGTTGGACATGGTGAGTTTGAGGTACCTGAAGGGGCCGAAAGAGACTTTTTTCTCACCCTTCTCTTTGCAAATGTGGATCTAGCTCTATAGCTGATCAAAAGGATTACCTTGATGGTCACTCTTTATTGTGCCCTTACTGTGTGCTGGGCACTGTTTCGGAGAGCTTCACGTATATTAACTCGAACCTCCACTATGAGGTAGCTACTCCCATTGTCATCGCCTCCACTTTGCATATGGGGAAACTGAGGCATAGACAGGCCAAGTAACTGAGGCGAGGCCACACAGCCTTGCGCTCCACCATCCTGCCTGCCTCTGTGCACGTGAGGAGGGCTCCCTGGGAACACGAGGACCGTGTGGGGACTTGAGGAAAAGACGGTAGAGTTCTTCTGTCAGTGTGAGGAAAGAGAAGGGGTGAGGGGCGGGGACAGCCCTGAATTTGAGTTTGGGCCTTGCAGGTGGTTTTGTCCTTTAACGTCCTCTGCGCCTCGATTTCATTTAATTAAATTCCCCGTGAAATGGGAACCTAGGAGGTCTTTCTACAGTGGCAGAGGTGGGGCATGGGATCTGGGCCCTAGATAGATCCTTCTGGAGTTCAGTGTGAGGGACAGCCAGGAAGTGGGGCAGGGTTGGCGGCAGGGAGACATGTCTGGGGGCTCTGTGGGGGACGTAGAGAGCTTATGCTGAGGCAGCTGAAGTGGTACTGGAAAGATGGAGTCCGTGGTGGACTGAATGGGGGGACGGTGTGAGGGAGTCGAGGATGCCCCCTCCACCCCCCAGGAGAGAAGCAGGCCAATTCAGGAGATGAAGGGGTTAAGCCAGGCCCCTGCTGGGACTCTAAGCTACGCACTGGGCACATGACATGGCAGCCATATACTCTACCCAACTCCAGCTTCATCCAGGCATCCCTGTCTCCTCAGGTGGGCAAGGCACGAAGTATGGAGTGTTCGGGAAATAACAAATAGCTTGCATTGGTTGAGTGAGGGTAGTTGTGAGTAGTGGCTAGAGATCAGCCTGGAAAGTGAACTTTCTCAAGGTGGCACTGGGGAGCCACTGGAGGGTTTTAGGCAAGGCAGTGACAGGATCAGATGTTTGCTTTAAGAGAGTTTTTCAGTATTTTTCAAACTTCTCTGGCTCCTCTTGATAAATATAAAAACTTCATCTCCAAATCCCCTCCCTGGGCCCCATGGAGATTTTGATGGTTCCCCTCACACCAGGGGGCTGAGCCTCCTTCCCATGATGCCCCGAGGAGAGGCCTGATTGCTTTTTCTCAGTTTATCTTTGTAGTTCTTTCAACCACTGCTCTATGTATTTCTAAGTTAGGGTAAGTGCCGATGACTTTAGAATTGCTGTATATTTCAGGTAAGTTGAATACTGGATCAAAATGTGGTGACATGCATTAATACTAGCAATGCTTTTGCCTTATAGTCTACTTTGTCTAATGTAACA